TTGCAATTTCTTCGCATTCACCCTGCAAACTTTCACGAGGATAACACTCTACAAGAAAGTCAGCAATTACCTGTCCTTTGGCTGCGCTTCGAGGCTGATACTTTATGTCAAAAGGAACTAAGTTCGATGGCCCACTTCGTAATCCTTCCTGATAAGTCTGGTTTAGATAAGATAACCCTCATCGGTTGATTAGTTAACACCACAATGGTGTGTACCTCGAAGTACTGACGGAGCTTCTTCTTTGCGGTTACTAAGGCCAACACCATCTTCTCAGTGGGTGAATACCTCTTTTCTGCATCGATTAAACTTTTGCCCACATAAAATATGGGTTATTGAACCGAGTCTTCTTCTCTGAATAACGCAGCGCTTACTGCCCCTTCGCTTACAGCTAGGTATATGTATAACAACTCCCCTTGCTTGGGAATGGTTAACAACAATGGGCTCATGAGATATTTCTTTAGTTGTTCGAAAGCTTCCCTTTGCTCATGCCCCCACACATCTCCTTTCCGGTTTCGTATGGCTTGAAAAAAAGGTTTGTATCGATCGGATGATCGTGAGATGAAACGACTAAGGGCAGCAATTCACCCGGTTAACACTTGAATGTCTCTGGGTGTTACCGGATCTGGCATGTTACACAAGGCTTCAACTTTCGCTTGGTTCGGTTCGATACCTCGCTTGTTCACTATGTGCCCTAAGAACTGCCCAGATGATACACCGAATGCGCATTTTGCCGGGTTTAGCCTCATGTGATATCTTCTCAATATGTCAAAGGTGTTGCATAGATGATCAATATGTTGGCACCTTTCTCGGCTTTTGACGACCATATCATCAATGTAAACCTCCATTGTATTTCCGATTTGATTTTTAAACATCTTGTTCACTAACCTTTGATAAGTCGAGCCAGCATTCTTAAGTCCGAAAGGCATAACGGTGTAACAATACAATCTACGCTCAGTGATAAAAGAAGTCTTCTCTTGATCTTCAACAGCCATAGGAATTTGGTTATAACCAGAATAAGCATCTAAGAAAGACAATAGTGCGTACCCAGCCGTAGCATCCACCGTCTGGTCAATCTTTGGAATTGGAAAACAATCTTTCTGACATGCTCTGTTCAGGTTGGTATAATCCACACACACGCGCCACTTTCCTTTTTCTTTCTTGCCCACCACCACGACATTCGAAACCCAAGTTGGGCACCAGACATCACGAATGAACCCAACTTCGAGGAGCCTATCAGCTTCTGCACTGATAATCTGATTTCGTTCTGGTGTAAATCTCCTCTGCTTTTGTCTGTGTGGAAGATAACTCGGATCAACATTCAACTGATGGCATGCCACTTCCGAATCAATTCCTGGCATGTTCCTATGAGACCATGCAAAAACATCAGCGTTGCTCCTTAGAAATTTCATCAACTCTTTGATTTCCGCATCAGATAGGAGGGAGCCCACCCATATTCGTTTCTCAGGATCGGTTGGATCCAAAACCTCTTCCCTCAATGGTTCTATAGTTGGGGGTTCTTGATCGCCGTTTTCCTGATCTTGTTGTGGTGGGTCCTCCGCTAATTGCTATAATGGTTTATTCTCATGAAGGTCCGTGCTCTGTTGTACTTCCTTGTTTGTCTTGATGTCTGTTGCCATGCTGTAGCATTTTCTGGCCTTCAGTTGATCCCCTTTGATGTCGATGGTCGTCTGACCATCCGTCAACAAACACCTCATCACTTGGCATCTGGTTGACGCTTCCCCATCCATTCGATGGATCCAATCCCTTCCCATAATGGCATTATATGCACTCGGTGCATCGATGATGACAAAAGTGACGAAAAGAGTCTTACCTGCTGCCGTGACAAGAAGGGTCACGTCTCCGATGGGCCGGGCCTTAGTTCCTTCAAATGCATAGATAGGAGTTGGGTTTGGCCTTATCTCTTTCTTGTCTAATTTCATTGTTCTAAATGTGCTCTAAAATAGAACGTCTGTGCTGCTTCCCCCATCTATCATTACCCTTTTCACTCTTAAATTGGCAATACGTAGCGTTACGACCAATGCATCATTGTGAGGGAATTGAATTCCTTTGAGGTCTTTTTGGCTAAAGGAGATGACTCTGAAATTATCCAACGCTTTAGACGCTTCAGGAACTGATGTTATGTTGAGTACGCGTCTAGACTTCTCGGCCTCTCGTCTTTGTGACCGATAGCGCGCTTCGCGTCCTTCAGGGGGTTGGGGCCCATCATGTATGACGTTGATATCCAACAACCTCTCATCTGCTCCAATGTTTCCTGTTACTGCTTGAAGTCCTCCATCGTTCTTGTGTTCGTCTCTCGATTCGATGTGGACAACATTCCCTTCTTCAGCATAGCTTCCACTTGGTTCTTTAGGCTTCGACAATCATTAGTGGTATGACCAAAGTCATTGTGATGAGCACACATCTTGTTCCTGTCTCGCTTCTCTAGTGGCGTTCGAATTGGGGCCAGTGCACGAAAGATTCCTTTTCCCTTGTTCTCGTGAAAAATTTTGCCCAGGCTCACTATCAGCTTAGTGTTTGGGCGATCAAGTCTAGATCTTTCATTAAACCCATCATTCGGATCACGTGAGAATCTTCTCTCTTGCCTCGGTTGAGCCGTGGGTTTCAAGGTAAGTGCGGTAGTGTCCGCTGGAGATGCAGCAATAGTCGTGATAGCCCGCTTTGATTGGATAAGTTCCTCTTCTTCTAATCTGATGATTCCATTAGCTCAGGCTATCACCTCCCTCATGTCCAGTGGTGGTGTCTCGATTAACGACCTACGCATCTTCGTTCCAGGTAACACCCCTTCTCGGAATGCTAAAGCGGCGGTGTGAGAGTCACACTCTTCTAGGGTAGACATCTCCTCCGTAAACCTAGTCATGTAGCTCTTAAGGCTCTCGCCAACATTTTGTTTGGTGCTGAACAAGATCGTAACATCTTTTCTTGGCCTCCGGTTACAGACATATTAAGATATGAACGCTTCACAGAGATCTATGAAACTCCCGATAGACCTCGATTTCAGTTGTCTGAACCACGTTAAAGATGATCCCGAAAGACTTGAGGGAAACAACTTGCACATGAGGGCCTCATCGTCTCCTTCAAGTGCCATCTGCTGTTGAAAGTGGTAAATGTGCTCGACAGGATTAGTCGTGCCTTTAAATATCCTAAACTTTGGTTGGGTGAACTTGGCAGGTTTTTTAGCTTTCAGGATGTCCTTTGTAAATGGCGATTTGCGAATTCCTCTAGCCGTTTCTAAGGCAAGCTCCACTGGGGTTTGTGGCTTGTATCCCTTCACAATCTTCTCAATTTGTTCTCGCAAATCAACATATTTTACCTTTTTCGATAATTTACCCCTGTAGCCCCCTTCGCCCTAATTTTTTGTCACTTCAACACAGTTACTGGATGGCGCGCTACTAGAGCTACCTTCCTTATCCTCCTCTTCTGCACATTGTCTCTTGGTGCCTGTTACATCTTCTACGACATTTCTCGCTTCAGCCTTCTTCAATGCCTCATCTGCTGTCTTTTGATGTGAGAATTTCTTGACACACAAATTAAACCCTCTTTTTGACAATTGTAGTATAGATGTAAGTAGGGTATCGTTCTAGGCCGGGGATTAGGAGGGATTGCTAATCTATTCTAAATTAATTTAAAAATATTAAACAAGACTCAAGGACACAAAACTAGGCTAAAAACTCTAATAACTCGAAACACACTTAGGATGACTCAAAATAATGAAAATAATCAAATTAAACACTAGGACTGAAATGGACGGAAATCGAATTGAAAGACTAACAATAATGAAAACTAACTAATAATATAATTTAATAATGGAAGGGTGTTTGGTTTTGACTAGAAGTAAATTAAACTTAAATAAATTACAGAATTGACAAAAACATGAAATTAAGGTGAAATGATAAATGACGGACTAGCTAGAGGGTTCTTCTCCACACATGACACATAAGCAACCTAAATTGATTTTCAGTTGTTCTTTCAATAAATTGTGAATTTCAATACTCCAGATTAACCGTGAACAGCACTTTTTTTAATCTTCAAGTTTTCCTTAAGTTATTGAATTGGACGGGAAAACGCATACAACAATTCAAAACATTCTTCAAAAGTCCCCTACGTGAAAAGCACAATAGAGATACAATCAAAGATCATTAAACTTTGTGAAAACTATAAGCATTGACGAGGCATTCATAACTATGAAAAGCATGATACTCTTGCCAAGAATTTACTTAACGTGATTGTGACTAGCAACCTTTACTACTTGTGAAAATAAGTTCATAACGATTAGGTGAAATTCACTTATATTCTAGCATCAAATTCATGCATGTAAATTAAGCGTGCACTCTCAACCAACATACACAAATCAGTTTTTATACGAACGGATAAGTAAATTGAAATCACAACTTATGAAATCACAACCGAAGGTAATCAATTCATATTACAGATATAATCATGGCTTTGAATTAACCTCTAGCCAAAATCAGTTTATTTACACATTATTAAAAATAGAAATAAAATAGAAGTTTAGAGAGATTAAACCGAAAGAGAGGTGAAGATCTCTGTCTGCGTTCTCCTTTCACGCTGTATTGGACCGTCCTCACCTTTGTACTGACTCTGTCCTCCTTATTTTATGCGCCTATTCCTGCGTGCTGACCTTCACAAGCTGCCCAAAGGCAGCCTTCTCTCGTCAGTCCCCCGCTCCGCTTCTAACCTGCTCCCCCGTCCATATTTCTCCTTCTTTCTTTTTATTCCTCTGGACCCGTGTCAACCAGCTGCCAAGGGCAGCGTCCTTTCCGTGCTGCTCCACTGACCTCACCTTCTTTGTACTACCCCCGTATCTCCACGTCTCTTCCCCCCCAGCTGCCAAGGCAGCTACTCTCCTTTCTGACCTTCTCTTCTTCCTGCGTCTCTGCGAGCTGCCCAAAGGGCAGCTCCCTTCTCCCGCTCCAAGACCCCCCTTCTCACCCGTTCGTCTGACTTCTTTTTCTCGCACACCTTCTTTGGATTCTTTTTCCGTCCCCCGTGTGGACTCCTCCATTTCCTCTGCTTTGCCAGTTGCTGTCCCCTAATTCTTCTGACTTCCTTGGATCCCTTTGTCGCTGACCTGCTTTCCTCCAGCTGCAAAGGCAGCTTGCTTTTCTCTATATTCTCCTCCCGATGCTCTCCTTTTATTTTCATTTAGTTTCTAGCAGCCCCACATAGCAGAAAAATAAGTTCTTTGGATCATGTTACTCCTACAAACACAATATATCAAAAGTATCATAAATACTTAAAGCTTCCAAATAAATTAGACAAGAAAAGAAATATAAAATGATGAAATATATAGTTTAAATATTGGTTTACCATTTAGCGTCACAATGGGTTAGCAATATTGTAATTTAAATTTGCTTTTCACGAAAATTTCACTTGTTCTATTTTTATTTTCTTTGCATAACAAATCCTATAAACACAAAAATAACGTAAATAGCTTAAAAATATAAGGAACTAACCAAGAAAAGACGAGTGAATTTAAAGTAAAAATATATATAAATATGATCCGATCATCTTTTTTGTTTCATGCAATTCCCTCGTTAACCTTCTAAATTGTTCCATGGCAAGACTGGGTTCACTATTTTGTGATTGAGACCTAGCATGTACCGATCGAGTCCCTACGCCTTGAGAGGGATTCGGAACTTCTTGTGCGGATCCAGTCATGTTTGTAGTTTGATTTTGTTTCCCACAGACGGCGCCAACTGTTGGAGTGAGATTTCCTACAAGAAGAAATACCTCCACAGACTTGTTGACCGCAATCCTCACGTTCGCCGTATCCTTCTTCGAGATGTCCCAAAATAATCTTCCTCCGCAGTTTGGCGAACGAGTACCTGCAAAAGATACTCCGACACTCAAGTCAGTCGATTGATTTCTACTCTTTGAATTCTCTCGGGTTCTGCTCACCTCCCTTGCTCTTTGGCTCCACTCCATCTTTATAGGATTGCATGCCTGGAAAGCAAGTACCACGATCTCTCTCTCCTTCCCACTTCCTTAGTGGTCCTCGTAATATGACTGCATGCTTCGGGAACAAGCACCACGTCATACTTTCCTTTCCCACTTCCTCGGTGATCCTCCGTAATGGAGGCGGTTACCTGGACACATGCGCCTGCTTGTTCCTCGTGGGCTTTCCTTACGGTTCACCTTGCATAACACCATCCTTAGGTGACTTGGATTGGCCCATGAGTCGAAACCCGGATTTTATCCTCCCACAAGGAACAATTTTGGGCAGTGAGGTTAGATTAGGTTTTCTTACATTGGGGGTTAGATTTAGGGTGCTTCAGTGGGGGTAGATTAGGGTTCTTAAATTAGGGGTTTTTTAATTTCAAGTGAAGGGTTAGAATTATGGCCGTCAACGTTTGGAAACTGGGGAATTGTTAATTTTTTTCCTGTGTTGTATGTCATAAAATGCTTGTTATATGATTCTTTGTTCCTCCTAGGAACCTATATATTTTAAACAGTACTTAGTTGCTTTTGTAATGTGATAGTGTTTAAACCACGGCCACGGATTCTAATATGGAGAAAATGTTAGCCTCATGTCCTTAATTTGTGTCAGCCGAACCCTCTATTCATGTTTGTTAAATGTAACTGGTGGAAGGTATTGTAAAATGCTCATCCTGTGAATTTTATGTTCAAAATAGCTTGGTGGAAGTCAAATGAGCATATAGATCAAAACAACTTATTGTATGTCATAGAATGCTTGTTACATTAGGTTTACTTATTATCCTCAAGATACATTCTTTATGTTTATGTAAATAATATGGATGTGACATCAACCTTTGGAAACTGGGGAAGCCCACGATTGATGTCTATGAAGTTCTTTTCTTTAAATCTGAGTTTCCTTTACTTGCTATTTCAGTTAATTAGAATTCACTCGAGGAATTCACAACTGGGTTGGACTCGGCAAAAAGTAAGTGACGAGTCATGCTTTACATTTCCTTATTGAAATTCAGATTGTATTTGTGTTTCTTCTTGTTTTTGTGTGTGTTTTTGCCTATATGCATGTGAATATGTACATAAATACGTGCATATGTATATGCATACATATTACATACATACCAAGTTACCAACACATACTTATATGTGTGTTTGTGTGTGCAACTGTGCATGCATAATGTAGCTAAATTATAAAAGAAATTGTTACCTGGCTGGATTAACCTATTGTTCTAGACATTTTGCTGTGAAGTATTTTGACATCGTACGGCTTTCTGGGGATCAGTCAATGTGAAGAATGTATGACTCTGTTAAAGAAATAGTGTTGTAGCTCAATTAGTTAGTCATAGAATCGAACAAAGATAGTTATAGAAACTGTTTTTAATGTTCTTCAAATTAAAAAACCCCACGGCCCTAATTCGGTTTTTAATTTGAATTTGTTTTTTTATGTTCTTCCAATATGAACAAATCGCAGAAGAAAACAGTTTCTATAACTATCTCTGTCCAAGGAATTCAGTTTTTATGTTCTTCAAGTGAAGGGTTAGAATTAGGGCTGTGGGTTTAATTTGAATAACATAAATAGCTTAATTAGCCTACTAATGCTTCTTTCTCAAAAGTCTTCACTCCTAAATAGAGAGAAAGTGTTATTTGGTGCTAATCACACTTTTCTAAATATATTGCATTGTTATTTATTCCAGTTAACAAGCTCTATTTATATCCAATAAGCATATGATTTCTATATGTAATGTGGATGTTAAAAGAGACTAAGAATCACTTTATATGGTCCATTTTCTTGTTACTACCTGTGAAACTATTAAGTATTCATGGAGTTGGGCTCTGGTGGAAACCATTTGTATTTATGTTGCTTAGTACACACACACACACAACTTGCATACATCAACACACACACACACAGAGTACATGGATACACAGCACACACGCAGAGTGCATACACACAAAATTAGCATACATCAACACACACACACACACCCAAAATTAGCATACATGGACACACACACAGATAAAAGTACATACACACACACAGAGCACGTACATACATACATACGCATACACATACAGTCATAGATTATATACCTATCAATTATTAGATCAAATTCAACGATGGTAGAACAAATATTAGATGAAATTCATATATATATCAAATCCACATATTATATCACCAAGCAGATATTGGTTATATGATTCATGTATAGTAGATGCCGTTTTAAATTTTCTTTTTGCCAAACTTGAATTGGGTTTAGAATTAGAGTTTTTAAATTTCTTTTTAAATTTAAGTACAAATTATTATGCATGTGTACGATAATTTTAATCTTTGTAATCTAACAAATTTATTTCCAATTTTGTAGATGTCACAGCTCATTAGAACCCGGAAGGCGATGACTTATACACCTCGTCCAACAACTACACCTAATACTGCCACCACTGCTCTGGCAAAGATGGACCATAGGTCGGTGAATCCGGTTGACCCAGTTGGTCCTCCAGTCCCACAGGTGCTGACATCTTCGACTTCTTCGGTGATGTTACCTGTCAGCGCCTGACACGCTCATCGGGGCCCCCGCACCCCTGATCAGATGTCGCCATCAGGATCCACAACCGATGCCTCGAGTACATAGCCAAGTATACTATCCTAATTTACTCCCTCATTCCCATGTTAACTTAGTTTTGTTATTTTAGGTTCAATTTGTTAAATTATGTCATTTAAGGATTAAAAAGTTATTATACATATATTGTTTATTGTTGTCATCGTTCCAAACCTTTTATTAAACAGTTGTGATCACTGTGTTGGATACATATAGTTTATGTTATTTTCAGGGTTTTGGGAAATGTTTAATTATAGGGAGGTTATGCCGAAATTTTAGTAGGATTTGTTATTAGTTTTGGGTTAACTTTAAGTTTTTATTTCTTTGGAGCCTAGAAAAACACCCGGGGACCTTGTCGACAATTGAAGATAACTAAGGTGGAAAAGGGTCAGTCGCTCCTTCGAGAGTCTACCTCCCAATTTCCTTCGGACAGGCCGATCGAGTATGTGGATCCCCATGAGGATGTAGGGTTTCACATCCTTACAGAGATGTTGGACTAGACTTTCGGTCGGAGGTCAGGGACATGTTGTTGGGGGATGGGAAATTCCAGGCGGTGGGAGAGTGGAGCCTCTTCATTCTAGCAATCGAAGGCCAAGGTTACAGCTTTGATGTAGGAAGTCTATGGCATGAGGAGTAAGCTCGCATTGTACAAGTCTTAAAATGTCATTGCTTGTACAAGCTCTTAGTTCCTTCGGGATCCGTCTCCCCGATTTTTCTGCACCACCATCGCCAAAGCCCCTCTACTCCAAGCATACACAGCAATCAGACCCATCGACCTCCAACCTCATCCCCAACCCCACCCCCTTCTAGTAGCAAGATTACCAAGCACCATAGATTATTCCTCATTTTTTTTGTAGTTTTTGTTCCCGCTTTCCTTTTAAACTTTGTATTTGTACGTACATTTTTATTTATATTATAAATAAATTATTTTTTTATTCATTAATTTGTTTTTTTTTTTTTGGTCAATTGTATGAAATATATTTTTTTAATAATATTCCTTTTATTCTATTTATTATTTTTTTTATTCAAAAATGCACTTGTGTGGTGATGACATATCATCGCGCAAAACCACACCCATCTTACGTTTTTCGTCGCGCAAACATTTTCGAGACGAATTATAGGCGTCCCTAAAAATTTCTCGTCACAAAGCACACTTGTTCCCTCTTATATCGTACGACAAAAACTTTTGTCCGTATACCTTTCGCGCGACGAACACTAAAGCATCGCACAATCGTTTAGCTACGCGACGAATGTGCACTTCTTCATCGTGCAAGGTCTTTCTTCATGACCTTTGCGTGAAAAATTCTACTCGATGATTTTTGTGTCGTCATAGGTTTTGTGCGACCTGGAAATGCTTTGCACGACAAAGACTCCCTCGTCTCGCAAAGTGTTTAATTTAGTAGTGTAAATTTGTAATATCCCTCTAGAAAGGGATTGGTTTGTAAGAAAGATACACACCAATTCTCATGCATCAATGAGTTTGAGCAAGAGGATTACCCGAGGCCAGGGAGGAGGAAAAAAATAGCTAGTGAGCTACTTATAAGGATTATATACACTAAAGTGAAAGTTATCTTTGTACTCTTATTATTTCAGATACTGAAAGAAACGACTATTGTTGCACCGATGACGTAAGCATGATCGTTGAACCTCATAAATAGTGTTTTATTTACTTTATAGGTCACTACACATATATCGTCTATTTTACAACACGTAACCAGCACGACAAGCTCTCGCGTCAGTGGTAAGAACAACACCATAAATCCGTTAAAACACTACCTACCTCTCACATCTATCGGCTGAAATCTCACAAATAAAAAAATGCAAACATAGAGAATGAAGATCATGTGCAATCTCAATTCAGAGAAGATAATGGTGTAACTTTTAAAATGGAAAAAAAAGTTAGAGAAACAAGCAAATGTACAGCCCGAAAAGAAAAGGGGAGAACTTGTATTGGTATTAGTATGACCAACTAGAAAGAACAAC